CGCAGCTCCCTGGCCCGGGGCGCTCCCGCCGGCCGCGGCCCGGAGTTCCCTCGGGAGCACGGATGGAGCACCTACTGTGTGCCAGGCCCTCAGTCATTTCACACCGAGAAAGAGTTGGCCTTGACAGGTCTTTAAAATGAGAGGGAGCCTTGCGTGAACGGTCTGTGGCTGAGCGGGGGTCCGGCTGACTCCCGGTCCAGTGATGGCAGGTTGCCCTACTAAACGTCTGGGGTGAAACCTACCCAAGGCTTAAGGGGTCCCTTACCTGCCTGTGTTCCCGCACGCCCCTTCTGCCTCCGGCCTCATCTGTCTTCCTGCAGCCAGGGGGCACCTTTCTGGCCATCAGACACTAAGTCTTGAACAGCCTCAGGACCCTTGCACATACCTTTCCTTCGGGGTAAGATGTTTTTGTCTAGCATTTCACATAGCTGTCCACTTATTGCAAAAATGTCCCCTCGTTGGAGAGGGCTTCACTTTTCCAAACTCTGTCTCTCACCATCCTCCAAGATGCATTTATCACTGTCTCTATTCAAGAATTCAGCAAACACTTACTGAGCACCTAGTCCGGTTCTTTATACTTGGTTAACAGACAAAAGCCCTGGCCCTCGATGGAGTTTTGGGAGAGGGAGACAGGTAACAGATAACGAATTAGCAAAGGATGCTGCATTTGGAAGATGGTAAATTCCGTAGAGGGAAAAGGCGCTAGGTAAGGAGGCTTGGGATAGAGCTAGTGCAGTTTTCAGTGAGGTGGTCAGATCTGATAGGGTGCTTAAGCCGATCGGGTGACACTGAGAGGTGACATTTCAGCCACGAAGGTAAACGGGAACAAGACAGTCCGGGAAGGGGGCAGCCAGTAGAAAGACCTTGAGCCGCAAGACTGCTCAGGGTCACAGAGGAGTCGGTAATCCGGCTTTTCCTCGGATTGGCTAGCTTCTTAAGGTGTGTCCCTCTCGGGGACGCCAGCTCCGGGGCTGTCGCTATGCCTGTCCCAGCCCTACGACAGCACCGGGCACACGGTAGAGGCTCGAAACTACCTGCTGAAGGGATACGTGAGACACATGGAGGGGTGGCTGGACCTTCCGGCCCCGACCCGGTGTCTGAGGTCCGGAGGGCCGTCTGTCCCTGGGCCACACGGACCCCGCCAGGCCTGGCACTGGAGCCCCGCAGGGGAATTCCGACGGGCCGGGA